TTTTCAATAATTTTGATAAACAGGGAAGGCTTTTAGGGCATAGATTCAGATCTTTCTTGAGTGCATGAAAGTTTTCTTCTATTATATTTATGCCTCTTTTTCAATTATGTTTCTTATTTATGTATTCGCCAATTATCCATATCGAATCTATTCCCTACTTTTAATATTTGACTTTTTTTTTTTTTACATCTTTGTCTTTTTTCCTCTGTGTTTTGGAAGCACACCTCCCTTTCAAACAAAAACACTTGCCCTCCTCATCGAGTGTATTTCCATACTGTTCACTAGAATTTTCTTATTCCAGAAATAAACCTTACATTATTTTTTACATGTTTTTCATTTTTCTCTCAACCAAGCCAGAGATTTTTTTCTTATTTATGTTTTAACTTCCTAATCCCACTTTTTCTTTTGTTTTATAGGATGTTTCCTTGAATTTTATTGTCAGTGATTTTTAAATAGGTGCTATAAAGTTTTCTTCCATTTCTGATAATAAATTTTTTTCTAAGATATGTTTTTCTTCTGCAATACATGTTACATTTTCCTTTTTTATGCTGGATAATCATTTTTTTCAATTGTATGATGGTATTTTGTTTATTTATTCTGGAAATAAAAAAATAAATTCCCTAAAATAGTATCGTCAGATTTTCTTCGGATTCTTTTACTGTCATACTGGGTGATCTTAAAATGCTTATCTCACTTCTGATCCTGCCGAGGCAGTGTAAAATAATGCTGCCAGGTACTGCGTAACCTTTGACAGATGCTCTGTACCTCCGTTTCCTCATGTGTAAAGTGGGAATAATAGTGCTTCCTGGCAGGCCTGTTATTATGAGTAAACGATAAAATTTTTGTGAAGCACTAAGAATAGTATCTCACAAGAATAACAATGCAATGAATGTCAGATGTTGCCATTTTTATTTTATTGTATTTAGTGAGCTTTTAACTCTGACATAATCTCATTTAATCCTCCCTAACACCATTAGGTAGGTACTGTTATTGTTCCCATTTTACAGAAAATTATTACCTTTGTATTTGGATAACAATTTGACTGGACATAGTATTCTTGGGACTCAGATTCTCTCTTTCAAAATTTTATTCTATTTTTTTTTCTGGTTTTGAATATTGTGTGCGTTGGAGGTCCACCCAACTTGTTATTCTTATGGGAGACTTGTTTTTTGTACCAAGATGCCTATGCAGTTCTTTCTTCATCCTCAAAGGTTTTCATTTTTAGCCAGGCATCTTTGTTTGTGACAGCTGCTGATAGCAAACCTAGTGATACAAGACAAACGAATGTCCTGTCTCACAGCTCCATAGGTCAGAAGCCCAGCAGATTTACTCCAGTTCCCATTTGACCAAAATCAAGGTGCCTCTGAGCCTAAGGTCTTTTCTAGAACCTCTAGGTCATCGTCCACTTCCAGGCTCATTTGGGAGTTGGCAGAATCAGTTCCGCACAGTTGTGGAGCTGAGATCTCCATTTCCTTGCTGGCCGTTGGCTGGCGGGTTGCTCTCAATTTCTCAAGGCCAGTTGTATTCCTTGGCTCCTGGCCTCTTACCTTTGAGCCTGAAACAGCAGTTGAGTCCCTCCTATGCTCCCCAGCCCTCTTGTTTCTCGTGCCGCTGCGTCTCTCTGACTCCAGCCAGAGGAGTTTCTCTCTCCGTAAGGATGCCTGTGAGTAGATTTGTCCATGGGGATAATCCAGAATTGTTCCCCATCTCACCTGTGAAGTCCCTTTTGCCATGTATTGTAACATAGTCACACATTCTAGCAGTGAGGGCATGGGACTATTGGGGGGCCATATTTTGCCTATGACTCTAGGCTTTTATGTTAATCATTTTTATCACTTTTTCCAGGAAGACAGTGTACCCTTTCAGATATATTTTAGTGACTTTTCATACTTCACTTCTGAACACCGTTTCTGTTTCACGTGTTGGAGTCTCTACTTGAAGAATCCAATTACCTTCAATATTGGATTGCTCAGGTTCTTTCTCTCACTTTGTCCCTAAAAATTATGTTTTTAAAAACCAATTTTGTAGAGGCATAGTTTACATACAATAAACTGTGTCTGTTTAAGGTGCACCATGGATGAGTTTTGACAGATGAGTCTACCCTTCAGACCCTAGTCCTGCTCGAGACACAGAACTTCCCATCACTCCAGAGGTGTCCTTTGTCTTCCTTCCCCCGCTCTGATTGCTCCAATAGCTTCTCTCTGCCTCTCTGTCAGCTCTGCGTCCATTTCCAAGTCTTGCCTCTCTGTTATTAATTTGATCTTCAGCCATGTTTCTTCTTCTTTTTTTTTCCTGGTTCTGAATTACTTGTTGGAATAGATTTGTCATGATAATGTTGTTATGTTTCAGTGTGTTTCCTCGGCTCCACAGCTTTCCATCTTACTCTGTTGTTTTATCATCTCATCGCTAAGCTCTCACATTAACAGACTGATAGTCTTTTAAATTCTTCCATTGTGCAAAGACGTCGGGAACATGCTCTGTTCCTCTCGTTATGTATTGCCCACACTTGGCTCTTCTAATGTATTCCTCTTTTTCCGCTTAAAACAAATTACTGGGGTGGGGAGGGCAAGGGCAACATACATAACCTAAACATCTACCCCCATAATATGCTGAAATAAAAAAAAAAAAGAAAGAATAAAAAACAAAACAAATTACTGGGTATGAGGGACAAGTTTCCAAATTGTGTGAACACTGTAGTATCTTTTATTTAAATAAAAAATAACACAAAGAAGAAAATCATGCTGAATTGTGCATTATTTTTTAGTTGCCGTGCATTTTTTTCACCCCAAAATCATTTATGATTGTCTTGGACAGCTCTGTCATCTAAATTTTAAGAGGACTTTTAAAAGGATCATTTTTAAACCAACTCTAAACATACAGGAAACCCAGGAAAACACTGGGTCTCACCATCCTTTGCCCTGTTGGGAGTTGAAGGGACCCTCCCCACCGACCCCATCTCCTCTCAGGATTCTCAATCACCGAGACACAGAAGTCCAATGTCAGTGAAAATATCTACTTCCCAAATCTTAAGTCTGCATTACTAAGGAGAAAAAAAGGAGAAAAAATTATGCACATGATTAGAAAATTTAAACCTTTTAAAAGTATAAAACACTCCAGTTCTTGATGCTTGCAATTGTTTCCAGAGAAGAGAAACTATACGCAAACTAGCATATATAGACATATATGCTACATATGTATACACAGTATGTAATATATGCTATGTATACATACACACTGCTATACCCTTTTTTGTGTTTAGACAAAAGAGATTGTGGTATATGAACTTCCCCATACTTATTTCACTTAACAGTTCTCAAGAGAACACTCTTCCTTATCAGTTCACACAGACAGACCCACATCCTTTTAAATGACGGCATATTATTCATTATATGGAGTGTCCCCTTTCCAGTTCTGCCATGAGAGTAGCAAAGAAAGAAAAGAGTACGTGTCAAATATTATCCTTCCTGGGGGAGGGCTGAGCAAGCCCTCTCATGGAATATGAGGATTGGAGAATAGAGTTCCCCACTAATGATTTTCAGCACAATGAACACGATGTTTTGTGTTCATTGATATTTCTTTGTGGGACTCATATATAGCAATGGTGTTTCATTCTGCTGATAGGGGATGTGCTGTTGTGGACAACTGTGATGAAATCTTGCCTGGGGAAAGAAGGTTGGATGACCCTGTGAGATCGTGTCTTTCTGAGGTTTTGAACCATTAGGCTTTGGAACTGCAATTGAAACAAACATCTCAGCGGCATTTTCTTAAGTTATTTAGAAGTACATTATCCCATGGATGGGGTCTATATTCACCTAGGTTTATGAAATGTTGCACATAGTATTCCTATCTTAAGGATTTGTAGTATACATTCATATATCATTGGAAAAAATTTATAGTGAATAAGTCTATTGAACATTATTGAACCCGAAGTTTTCAAAACTTACTATTCTGTCACTGAACACTTTCTCCTGTGTCACTTATTAGTATGTCATGATACACAGTGTGGCTTCAGAGTATCTTAAATGTATCTGTCCCTACTGAGTCTATGTTTTTCAATTCAGTGTGGGGGTTCACCGAAGGACCAGATAGTAAATATTTCAGGCTTTGCAGGCCAGACAGTCTTTCTCACAAATATTCAGCTCTGCTGTGTAGCACAAAAGCAGCCATAGATGACAGGTGGACAAATGAGCGTGGCTGTGTTCCAGTAAAACTTTAATTATGGACACTAAAATTTGAATTTTATGTAATTTTCACATATCACAAAATATTATCCTCCCCCCCTCAACAATTTAAAAATGTAAAAATTAGCTGATGGGCTATACAAAAACAGGTGGGCCAGATTTGACCTGCAGGTCACAGCTTGATGACCTTTGATTTAGTGGATAATAATTCAGGATAATCAATAAATGTTGCGTTCAACCAGATTGTGCAATACCTTTTATATTTTCAGGAGATTCAGAAGTTTCTTGTATTTATATGTTAAACATATAAGAATATTAAAGCTTCATCTACTCTGTAAAAAGCATTTAAGTTATCCTACAATTTAGCTCCTAAACATTGAGACAGTATATTACCACTCTGCCTACTACAAAGGATAAGTTTAATAAGGATTTATTGAATAAATATTGGTGAGAATCTCCATGTTATAAAAGAAATCAGATTAGAAATTATCTCTACATGATGGTTTATTTATTACTAAATCTTAAAACCTTTGTAATGATGTTTTTGCAAAGGTCATAGCATAGAATTTGAAGTATAAAGTGGATGCAAAAGTACAGTATCTCTTTAGTGAAGACTTCTTCCTGTTGTTAATAAGATTTAAAAGTTTGTTAACTGCGTAATTGACCATCAACGAAAGTATAGCCTTCCAAGTGTGGTGCATCCCCTCTGAATGAACCTGGTTATTTTTGCCTTTGTTGAATTCTTGTCACTCCTCCTTTTTTGGCCTATGTTTAATGACCATTATTGTCCTTCTCTGGTGGCTCCCTGGTTTTCCCCAGGTTCATTCCAGAACCCTGGTCAGCCTGCAGCGCCACATGTGGGCCAGGTGTTCAGGTGCGAGAGGTGAAGTGCCGTGTGCTCCTCATGTTCACGCAGACCGAGACTGAACTGCCCGAGGAGGAGTGTGAAGGCCCCAAGCCGCCCACGGAACGGCCCTGCCTCCTCGAAGCGTGTGATGACAGTCCAGCCTCCCAAGAGCGAGATGTCCCTCTCCATGAGGACAGCGAGATGACTTACGACTGGGAGTATGCCGGCTTCACCCCTTGCACGGCAACATGTTTGGGAGGTATGTGAACCTTTGCTTGAGAGACAGTTATATTGCATGTTGCTGATGGTTTGAGAAATGTCTAAGTCAGGTAAGCCAAAATATGAAAATGAGCAAAAGTCTAAAAGAGGTGAAGTCATTCAAGTAACTGAAAACTGTGCTTTTTCTTTCTCTTATTTTTTTGTAGTGATTATTTTAGAAAGGTAAAGAGTAGTGGGACGTGATCAAAAAATGAATGTATGTTCCTTTGGCCTAAGAGTCTGCATAGCTGAGATGGGGAGGGGGTCATTGGTTAATATGGAATAATAGGAAAATGCAGAATGGATAAACTGAAGCCATTATGTGCATAAATTAGTCTTACAGACTGAGGTAGCCTGGAATTGCCGTGTCTGATGCAACTCTCGGAAGTCATCCTCAGAAATGTTTTAGGTTCATATCTACACACCGGGCCAGCAACCAGTGCAGAGCAAACTAGTCACCATGACTTATGTTTGTGTAGGTATCGGGTGACATACATAGCCAGGAAACCCTGTCAGGATTAGAGAGTGGCTGTGTAGCCAGCTGACCCCATTAGGGTGAGAAGTTGGCAAAGTAATCGATAGCTTTTCTAAGAAGAGGGAAGGGATGAAGCTCAAAGCACAGTTGTGGAGCTCAGCCGTCAATATCTGCAGGGGTGGCTGCTAATTGGAATTAGCAGGGAAAAGGCTGGTGTGGATATGAAAACAGTGAGTTCACACACTTACAAAAGGAGTTCCTGTCTGAATGTTTCTGTGTTTTTGTGTGTGTGAATATTTGCTGAGAGTGATTTGATAGACGAGTGGACAAATATTTGAGGTCATGATGTAGTATTATTTTATTGTACTGCTGATGACAATATGCTACTATTTAATTTAGGATGTATGTGTGTATATATACATATGAATGATATTGATGCGTGTAGGTGTACTCTCTTTGCATGTTGGAGTATAAGAATACCTTTCTGCAAATGGCGAAATGGGAATGAAAATCGAGTTGGCCCATGGTGGGCTCATTTTAGCACACTCCCTGAGGAGATGTGTTCCTGACACGCTACATTAGCAATTGCTGTTTTGTTTTCTCCAAATCCCTTCACATCATGACAGGCCTTGAGCTATAGTTTCTTCCAGCTACTCTTGATATAATTGGTCACTTCCTCTCAGGCTCCAATGACGTTTATGATGCCCTTCACACGGCCAAATGGCTTTCAACAATCCTTAATCTCTACCAGCTGCCTCCTCACCCAGTTCCTAAAAAGAATGCACCTACTTGGAGTGCTGTAAAACTTGCATTGCAACACCAAGCAGGGCACTGTTTTTCGGATCCATAACATGCTACACATCCCTCTCTTTGATTACCTGGGGATTTACAGTAGTACTCACTCAATCACACCAGCTAATCAGCAGGGAGAAAAATATATATATTAACTGTTCTTCTCAATATGATCCTAGGCATGCGTCTGTGTATATGTGCATCTCTGAAACAAAAAGCATCACGATATATAACATAGCATGTATAAGGCAACACTGTGTGGAGTGGGCCTATTTTTTCCTTTTGTAGATGTAGGTATTGGGTTATAGTAGTTTTGTAAGAGGAATTGGAGTTTTCTATACCTTTAAATAATCTTAAATAGTTTATATCATAGAAATTGTCTGTTCAAAAAGTTTGAAAGAGCTGATGGCCACAACTGTCTAAATCCAGTCCTTTTTTTTTCCCCTCATGGGGGCAAAAAAGGGGGAGTATTGTGGCTCCATCTTTAATATCATTTTCAAATGCCCCTGCCACTTATTATTATATTTAATCTGAGTTCTTACTGTTTAAGTAAATTCAATAATTTAGATTTGTTCAGGAAAAAAGTTATCCATTCACAAGGATATTAAAATTTATTTTCTAGAGGTGTTCATCTAGTCTCCATTTTCTCACCACAAATAATGTGTAATCTATTTATTCTTTGTCCTAAGACTTTTAAAAAATTCTAATGGGTGGATGTGGGGGCTTTAATGGTTTATTATTCATTTTTAGTCAGACTATATTATAGCCAGAGAATGTTACCTGCATAATTTATGGCTTGGAACTTACTGCAGTTTTTTTTTTTTTTATTTCAGCCTATTATGGGGGTATAGATGTTTAGGTTACGTATGTTGCCCTTGCCCCCCATTTTTCTTTATAGACTAAGAGAGGATCAATGTTTGTTAATGTTCCATGGATGCTTAAAAGCAGCATATTATATCTATTTCTAGGCCACAAGGCAATTTGATTATTAAATCAACATAATTTTCTTATTTAATTTATTGTTCCATATTTATTTTACAACATAATATATTAAATACTGGATGGCATATTAAAGACTCTGACTATAGATTTTGTTCATTTCTCCAGGTATTTCTTACATTGTGTGTATTGTGTTACGTTATTTGACATGTTGAACTAGTCAAGACTCTTGTTTGCAAATGACAGAAACCCAACTCAAACTAATCTAAACCAACAAAAAGGAATGTATTAGCTCATTTATTGGCTTTGCTTCTCCTCTGAGAGTCTGTGATTTTACCTTTTAATTGTTAATTTATCTCTTGTTGAGACTAAATATATATACTATATATATGTATATATATATATTTTTTTTTTTGGCTAAAAAAATGACCCTTTTACGATAACATTGTAAAAGTCAGATGTGAAGTAAAGGATGTTGCTTCATGCTTCAAAAGCAATTTGTTGAAAAATGATGCCAAAATTTCAACATTTGATTTATTTTGTATGTTCTTAATGCATAGTTGTAATTATTACCTAAACTCTGTTAAGTATAAGATGAAGTAAACTTATTTTTTAATTTTTTCTTATTACAAATTAAAATATATTTGAAAGATAATTGGATTTTTCTCAGATATAAAAAAAATGAAACCTACAAGAAAATAAACATTTAAACCCCCATAAGGTAACTAAGGACATTTTGATATTTGCAAATAAGAACGAGAGTTAATTTAAGTTGTAGTAATGTCTTCTTACATCTCAGGTTAGGCAGTGTTTATTTTAAAAGTTCATGGAAGATACATGCAGATTTAAGACTGCGTCCTGCTATGGCCGGGAACATAAAATTATAACTGAAGACAGCAGGAGGAAATTTATTGGAAAGAACTGAACGTCACAAATATATAGTATAAGTATTTTGGGCCAATACCACATCCTGTTAAATACTGTAAAATGGTTGAATTGAAACATGGCATTTGGAAAAAGAACCACAACCTTGTAACATAATAGAATACACATTCTTGCATGAAAATGAATACATTTGCATATTTCAAATAGCATAGTTAAGTTGCTATTCAAGGTTTCTATGTGATTTTTTTTAAATCAAAAGTTTGATTTATATTTTGTTCGATTCTAATTTCCTAATAATTCTTTTTTGTCTCAATGGAAAAAGAATAGTGGTTGAGAACATGGGTTTGGGGGTCAGACAGATCTATCTGGCCTCAGAGGAAAAATGTGCCTGTAAAAGTTCATGTTTGCACGAGGAGCAGTCGCTGCTTTGGGAAGTAGTTTGACTGTCTTGCATTTTGGAATCCCTAGAGGACAAAAGAAAGACCACTGAGTTAGGAGGCAGGGACTGTAATTTTTAGTTTTGAATCTACCACTTTTTTGCTGCCTTAAGTTCTCTCTAAACCTCAGTTTCCTTATTATTAATATTAAATTAATAAAATGGAGATAATGATATCATTCTTTCGACCTCACAGGTTATTTTGGGCTCAACTAATATGTTTGATAGCACTTTGTACAGGGAGTTATTGCTAGCAATAGAAATATTACTAATTATAGTAATAGTGAGCAGGAACTCAAACCCTAATGAAAATTTTGAAAAGAGTGATATTCCAGATTTAGCACATATGCAGTGATATAGAAAAAAGCAGCTGATATGAAAATTCGTCTTTGGGAAGTTATTGTATATGTTTGGAAGAAACACCTTGCTTTGAGTGTATCTGGAATGCAGAGAAGTCTAAGGCTGAGTGGGGGTCGGGATGCTCCTGAACGTCCCAAGGTGAATAGGTTTGGGGTGGAGGGAATAGAGGGGCTGAGTTTAAAAGGTAAGTGAGGGAATATCAAAGACTAAGAGACGTCAGACAATGCAAAGTTGTTTGCTCCTAGGCACAAAATGCAGCCTGCAGCCGCATGATAGTCCAAAAGGCAGTGGTCTAAGAATGAGGAGGCCCAAGACCCTATTTTCTTTTGTTCCATAATAAGTGATTCTACGTCATTTGACATTTTTCCTTTTTCCAACCTTCAGGCCATCAAGAAGCCATTGCAGTGTGCTTACACATTCAGACCCAGCAGACGGTCAATGACAGCTTATGCGATATGGTCCACCGTCCTCCAGCAATGAGCCAGGCCTGTAACACAGAACCCTGCCCCCCCAGGTATGTGCTGTCTTGTGCTCCTGGGATGCACCATGTCTGGGTGGTAACACCTCACCTGTAGAGAAACCCACCTGTGTGTAGAGACTTGCAGGTTCACCCCAGGTAAATCAGCTATGCCTGCTCCGGTGCTCTCTCTTCTCTGTTTAAGTCTTGCTCCAGCCAGATTCTTGCATAGAAGCTCAAATGCAGCCTTGTCGAATGCTCTTTAGTCTGACTTTTGTTTGCATCAAACCTGAATGAACGTAAACTGGCCTGCTGCTGGCTGGCACAACCGTGAGGCCAGCAGAGTTGTTCTCTTTCTGCTCCCTGTCTCAAGGGCACTTCCTTCCCTAGTGTCCCGTCACAGAGCACAGGAGCTGAGGTGGAGGTAACACTGGTACACAGCAGGTGCTTAATCCTTATTTGTCAAAGGACTGATTGATCTGTTTGATACCAAACTCGCCTGACCTGTTTCTACCTTTCCCGCTGACTTGCCTCTGATCTCAGCCTGAAGAGTGGAGTCAGCCCCAAAGAACTTGTGAGAGTGACTTCTTTTTTGGTCTCCTTGGTCTGAAAGGTTGGCTGAAAAGTTAATCAGCTTCCTTGTTTAAGTCCCCGCTGGGGAATTTTGTTGGAAGGGTGGCAGGTTTCTCTCATGTCCCCCGTCCCTGGCGTTGCTGGCTACAGAGGAGGATAACTCAGCATCGTGGTTTCTCACAAAAGACCTTTCTGAATCTAGCCCCTGATCCTTCCTTCCTTTGTCGCATACCCTTATGATCTTGAACACTCTTCTGCGATAAGTATTAGTTGCCAAAAACTGAGCCTGTTCCCAGTCTTTGCCAGAGTCTCTCTTCTGCCTCTTAGTAATGATATTGCCCATCTTACTTGCTAAAGGTGAGTTCTGCTATTTCTAGGACTTTAAGTAACTGAGGAATGTTCTTGTGTCCTCCTGCCGTGCTGGAGTAAGAATAAGTGTATTGTATGTTTATGCAGGAAATCAGACCCTGTGCGCCCTGGAGACGGGCATCCTTCCCCTGTGAGTCTCGTTCTCTACCTGCACAGTCTCAGGAGGAAGCCAGCTCGAATGTGTGCCTCGTTGTTGGGGAAACCACACCTGCCATGAGACGGGCATGGAGTTTCATAGCCGTTTCTGTATTTTCTCACTTCCACTGTAGCCTAAGGAAGTACTGGGGACCTCTTGGCTGGTGTTAGAGCCACCTTGCTGTGCTTAGCTGCAGACTCACCTGGGTGGGCAAGGCAAGGTCCAGACACAGCACAGGGAAATCTGCCTCCTGGCCACCTCCCACCCCCGGGCTGACTGCATTCCACATAATCCATGCTGTGATACTGATTGCAGAAGAGACAATGTGTAGGAGGGGTTTTAGGAAGGTTTGATCTAACGAGGGGTCAGGACATCTGCTTTGTCAAGTGTGTCCAGAGCTTTCCAGGAACATCAAGTGTGTGGGAGTAGTGTTGGCTATATGTCCACGTGGAATGACCTTTTTATCTTTAGAGAAATGGCACTCGTGCTAAGTGTATAAACCTTAGTAATCCAGATTACTTATCCTGGTTTCTCAGTTCCTCTTATTCTACTGTTGGCACCACCGAATTAGATATTTTTGGAAAAGCTGGGGTTTCCTCCCCTGCCACCTCCCTCCCCTGAGCAGTGAAAATGGAAACAGATGACTACCTGCCTGAGCAGGGGCAAGGCACAGGCAGACACGGCGAGGGGGAAACATAGTTTTATTTCTCAACATATTTTCCCATGAAATTGGAATTATGTGCTACGTCGTTCTGTGAACTGTTTTCTTAAACTTAGTTTTGGGATGGGGCAGGGGCAGGGGCAGGGGCAGATGTTAAATAAACAAAGCCTCAAGAGCAAGAATAATATGAGGACTGAAAAACAGACTGGTGGGGCTGGGAGTGGGGGTTGGTGCAGGTGGTGGGAGCAGTCCTCTCTGACGAAGTTACACAATTGAAACCCAAAAGACAAGTAGGAACTGGCCAGGACAAGTGTAGGGGAAACAATGTTCTGGGCAGGGGAAATGCTATGCGCAAAGGCCCCGAGGAAAGAAAAAGATCAGTGTGTGCAGGACCTGGACAGAAAGGAAATCCGTGTGTCATGGATGAGATCGGACTCGGCAAGGGTTGTGGTGAGCAGTCGGATTTCTTCCCCCAGCCAGTCAGTGGGAAGCCATTGGAGGGTTTGAGCAGTGAGGTGATAAATCACGTTTACGTTTTAAAAAGATTACGTAAACCCTGAAATGGGGAGAATGAGGGTGGAGACAATGAGATCAATTATATTTTTTTCTAAATAATTACTTTAAACCAGGGACCCAGCTCACCACAATTCCATTTGCGTGTCCTCCGTTGAAAGCTTGGTATGGGTGGATCAGCACTATTATCCTTTCCTTTTTGCCGTTTATATTATACCAACAAAATTCTTCATCAACACAGTTGCATCCATTTCTGTATTTGTAGCCATGAGTATCATTGAGTCTCTACTGTCTTTTCTAGAAATGCTCAGAGTGTCCTGCAGAGATGCGGCTTCCCAGGCTTTTGCAGAGGTGTTTTAAGAGTTCTGGAATCCATAAATTCTTTTCTTTGGACTGTTTTTAAAACAATGGAATGAACCTGTTTGTTACTTTTAGTTATGCCAGGTATTTTCCTGTGCAAAAATTTGAGCATCAGCACCCTAAGTCGTCTCTGCTCAGTGAAAAGTACTATTCTTATTATTAGTAATAACCTCACATTCCTTCACAGATGTGGTAATAAATAAATAATAAATAAATGCTCTTGTTTTCTGTACATGAAAACTGAATTTGAGCATTTTAAGTAGTTGGCAACTTGCCTGCGAACACACAGTAAATAAATTGTTTACTACAAGTAAAGCCAAACAGGGTGAATTTCTCATCAGCTGTCATTTAGTCCAAACCCCTCCTTCTCCAGATGGAGAAAATGGAAGCATAGGAGCCCACAGGGCATGCTGCCGTCGGAGGTGGTCTCCTGATTTCCAGCCCCTCCACCAGCCATCCCTTTTGTCTGTACCAACCAGTGCTCTGTTTCTGGGAAGATGACTATAAGAGAAATGATCTGGAATCTGCACAGACTTTAAATGGTGACTACAGTTTGGCTAAGCATGAAATTCTCATAGCCATTAACAAAGAAGCATAAAAAGAAGAAAATACAACCCAATACATTGGGGCATATTTTATTTCTAGATCTAAATCTTATTCCAGGATGACATGAAGCTCGTCTTTACCAGAGTTCTGTCCTCTGCTTCTAGCCAACTAGCAAAAATACTGAAACGGAAAACGAAAATAATGGCAACATAAAAGACATTTCAAATGAGAATGATTTGCATATCACAAGATAAAAAGAGGCCCTGAGAACGTTGATGAAACTCTCAATTTTATTTTTTGTAAAGTTATTCTGTTACGCTCTTGCCATGAAAGTGAAGATAGCTATAATGTGTCATCATATAATTTTTTTCCAAAAAATGCCAAAATACAAAACAATTCACAAGCCATTCTCTGTTCATTCTAAGAAGTAGTGCACTCAGCTGCCATAATAACTGCAATTATATTCAAAATAATATAACTTGATTTCATAATTTTTCTTTTAATGTTTCCAGACAAAGTCCAAATCAAACATTTTTCCCACTTTACCATGAAATTCAAGTCCCTTATTTAAGTAGATTCTCATTATGTGGCCTTGTCTGGTTTCAGTTCTCTGATAACATGAACCTGGCATTCTTGACAATTTACTTCTCAATACTTTGTGAATCCATCCTGTTCACGTCTAACTGCCCTGCCCTAATTCAGATATGTTTTCCCTAAGCTGTTTCAGTAGTGTCTAGATGAACTCCTGCCTTTTCTCTCCTGCTCTGATACACGTGCACAGGCACAACTACAAAAGTTCTTTACCTTTCTAAATTGCGGAGTGACCGTGTGAACCGCCTGCGTACAGCCCTTCAGTGACTTTCCTTTACCTGTGGATTAAAAGCCACATTCTTCCCTTTGGCGTATATGTTAGTTTCCTGGGGCTGCCATAGCACAGTATCACCAACAGAGTGGCGTAAAGAACAGAAATTTATTATCTCACAGATCTGGAAACAAGATGTTAAAGATCAAGGTGCCGGAGGGTTGGTTCCTTCCGAGGACTGTGAGGGAGAGTCTGTTTCGTGCCTGGCTCGTGGCAAATAGCCTCTGGCACTCTTTGGCTTGTGGATGGCACTGCCACTGTGGTTTCATATTCTTTTCCTTCTGTATGCCTCTGTGTCCAAATGACCCCTCTTCAGGAGGACACCACTCCTCTTGGGTTAGGGCCTGCTCTAACGACCTCCTCTGGATCATCTGCAAAGACCCTATTTCAAAATAAGGTCACAGTCGCAGGTACTGGAGGTTATAACCTCAACATATTTTGGGAGGAAACAATTCAACCCATAACAGCATATAAATTTCTTTGTGACTTTGCTTCTAACTCTTGAACCACATCTCCTGTCACTGCTACTACATGCCTACACACACACACACACACACACACACACACACACACACACACACACGTTTGTCATAGGAATTTGCTCAGCAGCTGCACTAAATGAGGCACTAGGACCCACGCTCATGCCCATTCACACCCTCTGGGCCTTCGCACGTACTGTGCCGTGTGCCTAAAGACCTTCTCTACTGTGAAAAAAGTTAATTCTCTCCCGTGAAAGTAATCATTGGCTCACTTCTTACTGGCAAAATGAAGTTTGACAGAATGTAAAATAGGATCCTAACCTGATCCTAACCTAACTGATACAGGGGAACTCTTATTAGTTGCATTTTTCACTCACATCTTCAAACTATGTTTAGTCCTTTTGTAGTTATTCTTATGTCCACTCATGAGTAGTGTGAAAGGCTCAGGGTTTGCTTTCGTTCTGTGCTTGACCTGCCCAGGAGGTCAAGGCAGGGTTGAGTTTTGTTTGCAGTATTCTTCGTTTGCTCACTAACCCAGAACGAGATTGAACAAGGAGTCTGGAAACTGTTTACCAAGGCTGCTGGAGAAAGCGCGCTGGCTTATTCGTGCATCAGCCTATGTGCCACGTGCCCTTACTTCATCACACTGCCTCAGCAAGAGCTCCTGCACCCTCCCTTCCTCAGCAATCTCTCGCCCACGGAGCCTCCGAGCTAAGAATAATAGAGCAGACAATATGTCTTGGCCACTTTGCAAAATTAAGAGTCTGTTTTTATGTGAAAGGAAATACTATTCCTCATTTCAAAGTTGCAAATTTAATAAACTTTTCAAAGTTTGAGAGTTATATTGGAAAAACCCCAGCAGAGACAAAGGTTTGGTGCCAAAATAAAGGTAAGTTTACAAAAATGTTTTAGGTTCTAGAAACCAGTGGTGTAGGAATAACAGGAACAGGGTGTTGCATAATATTTTCCATACAAATATTTACTGACTCCAAGGGTAATAGCAGTAAAATAACACCCCAGGGTGAAATGTACCACTGAGATTGGGTCGGACGGCCAGCGGATCTTTATTTACCCGAAGGCGACTGTATTTGATGTATTAGCCTGGACTCTCCAAGGTGGGGTGTTGCGTGTTTATTTGCTCTTATGGGGTTACTCCTCCAATCCATCCTATAACTGCTGAGTGATGGCTATTTATGGAGTTTGCTTTTTCCAGGAGAGAGCCAACAGCTTGCAGAAACATGAAGGGTTATATAATGGTCCCCTCGTCTGAGGAGAGCCTTCTCCTCTAACAGCATTCGACACTGCCAGGGAAAGAAGTCGGAAAGCAACAGGCAAGAGTAATGTGTTTCTGCACCAGCTGGTTACCCGTTTCTTGAATATAAAAGAGAATTCTGTATTTAGTTTGTTTTCTGTTAATAAGAAATTTTTGCCTATTTCTTAAATTAAAATAGTTCCATTACCAGTTCCTTTTGACTCTAACTGAATCTTCTGGCTGTACACTTTCTCAAAGGATGATCATCCTGAAGTCACTCCAAAAAACTTACATATTTAAGCTGAATTGTTTTAATGGTGAAACAGAAGCCTTCTAGGTATTGAGCCGTGTAGTCTAATTGTCATCAAAATATGACCCACGTATCTACTGTTGGTGACTTCTCTCAATTCCAAAGCTATTGGAATTTAGGTATTTTCAATTATAGTCTAACTCATTAATAGACTTCCAATTAAGATAGTGTCATAACTTCACATTCTGCTCCAAATACACGTCAAGGATAGATGAGTTATCAAAATGCCAGACCAAGGGAAAAATCGTGGAAACAGCTACCTGGGCCAGGCCGGGGATGGGAGTGTGGCGTGGTAAGTGGGACTGCACCTGCGGTTCTTCCAGCCCTCAGGCCCCAAGCAGTCGGGGAAAATGAAGAGTTCAATTGCTATGGACAGGAGGGACTGAACATCTTTCTTTTGATTCAGGAGAAAGGACCCAGGTTCACTGCTTCTTTGTAAAAGGAAGCGGAAAAAAGCTGCTGCTGATTATAGCTTGAAGCCTTTGTTTCTGTGAGGCCACTCTTGCGGGGAAGTGGAACAGACAGACACAGACAGAGCCCCGTGACTAGACACTGCCCCTACCTGCTGTTGGCCCAGCGATTGGGTCTTCAATGTCCCTACGGTTCTTCTGTGCCATGTTGTCCACATAAGATTTAGCTCCTGACTGGAGACCCTAGAGAGCTAGATGGAAGCGAATAAAACGGTAGACAGGGAGAGGTAGGAGAGAAAAGGGAGGTGGATCAAGGGAGGTGGAGGGAGAGAGTCCCCTCCCTTCAAACTGAGCCTGCAAAATGAAACTCCAAAGCACATGAAGAAATCTAACACTAACAAAAATAATCCACAGATTGAGCAATTGAAGATGAATTCACTCCGGATGAAATGAAAATGTAAGAACAATCTGAAGACAACTTTAAACTAAGTGTTATTAGGATCTTGAGACCTAAATTAATAAGTAACATCCAGTTAAAGAACTAGAAAGAATGGAATAGAAGTAGACAGCAATGTAATAAGAATAGGTGAGTATTAAAAAGAACCAATTAGAAAACCTAGAAACAAAGAAAGTCAATGAAATAAAAGAATAATAGAGATAATTAAAGAAAGAATTAATAATTCAAAGATAGTGTTGAGGAAATGAAATGAATCAAAAGCACAGAAAGTTGATTATTTGGGGAAAAGAAAGAAAATTAAGAAATATGTAGGTAATGTCAGAGAAGCCAGATATGAAATAAATTGTTTACTAAACCTTAAGAAAAAAATATCCACTCTTAGTATCAAGAAACATAAGTAAAAATAAGTCCCCACATTTATACATAACAGTAAAACTGCAGAAAATTGGAGATAAAAAGAAAATCTTAAAAGTGACCACACATGAAAAATGGATTAACTTCAAACAACTTATCAACAACTGGAGTTTCTGGAATACAAAGGAATAATTCCTTCACAGTTCCAATGGAAAATCATGATCAACCTAGAACTAAACTCTCTGAACTATTATTTCAGGTATGTGAATGTGCATGTCCATTTCTAGTCGCATGATGGACCAGGTGTCCTGAAAGTCCTTCTGCTAAATACTTCTAAAATAATGGGTAAAATATGTGAGAACATAACCTGAAATGAAGATCTAAGCTTGTAAGAAAGTAAGGGAAATGCTCAGAAGTGAGAAACAAGTTGAAGAGGCGTCTAGAGTGGTGACCCAGTACTCCATGGGGCCGGCTGCCTATGCCAGTAACCGAGACGTTTCAGCTTCAGCAGTTTTGCCTGGCAGACAGACAAGTCCTTGGACCTGCAGGAAGTGAAGAATAGCATGGCGATCCTCACACCAAGCCAAGGTCTACCTCAATGAAAAGGCAAATTCAGGGGTGAAATCCATCCTATAAAGAGAGATTGCAAGGAAAACTGTCTGTCTTGGCTTTGCCTCTGAATGGAAGGAATCAAAAGACCCTCCCCACCCCCCCACCCCCGAGAATCTAAAAGCCAAAAGTAGCCCTTTATGTAGGAGGGGGTTTATATTTATACTATGTGATGCAAAAAATTAATTCACATTGGTCTTGACAGAGGGAATGCAAATCGTTGGTGGAGGAATGTGTCTTCTACCCAGGCCTTGAAATTTCCACAAAGACCTAAAGAGCATGAGCTCGTAATCAGAAATCAAAAAACTCATGAAGAAGCAATGTGTGAGAGTCGGTGGGGAGGAAAACAGAATCAGATACACAGAGTATCATATGTTGGGATTACCAGGTACAGAATATGAAATAAGTTTGTTTAAAATATTTAAATGTATAAAACAGAAAATTGAAAATCTAAGCTAGGAATAACATACTATTAAAAACCTGGAAGATTTTTTAAAAGAACCAAATATTAACTTGAACCATATGAAACTTTCAATTTGATTGCTCAGAAATAAATGGTCAAATATTGGCAATTCATATGGGTCAACTAATAGAATATCCAGAAGTTAAAAATATAATTATTGAAATTTAAAAGTTATGGGCTGGGGTAAACAGGTAAACTGGAAGAGAGATCTGAAGAAATTACCCAGAATAAAACACAAAGAATAAATGAGATATGTTAAATATGCACAAGTGGTTTGAGAGATACAAAGGAAATATTGAGAAGGCTTATCGTATGTCAAAGTGGAATTACACAAGGAAAGTAAGAAGTTAATATTCAAATAGATAATAGCTGAGAATATTTCTTAATTTATGAAAAATCTGAATACTAAGAGACCCTCTCTCAAAAACAAACAAAAAAAAGAAAAGTACTATCACTTAGAGATCATCACTGTTAACATTTTGATGTGTAATTATCCAGACGTTTTCCTACATACATTAATAAATTAATAAAAAATAAAATTACACTCTACAAGCTATTTTATGACCTTTCTAATAAAAATGTATCATGAATGTATTTCTATGTTAATAACTATAAATCTACTTTATTTTAATGGCTGCTGGCATTGTGCTGCATGAATGGACAATTATTTATTTTGCCTTTTATTGTTAAACATTTAGATAATCTTCCATTTTCTAAAATTTAATTTATTTTTTTGCTATTACAAATTACCCTGGAGACCATCCTCCTTTTATGCATATGTTAAGCATTTTAAAATGGTTTCCTTATGATGTATCTCGACAGTGACTATTTAAGAATCCATGTTCACTAATTAAGTATCCACAAATTAAAGTAACCCTGGTGTATAATTTTTCACCCGTCAGATGGCAAAGACTTTTTTAAACGATATTCTCCGGTGTTGTTACGGGCGTAGAAAACCAGGCGCTCGCAAGCTCTGCCAGTGAGCGTCGATGGAGAGAATCTTCCTTGAAGGCAGCTTGGAAGTATGTGTCGAGAGCAGCTGCCCTGGTTTTCCGTTTTTACAGATGTTTCATGAGAAAACCTGATTTTTCCAAGATCTTATTGGAAAGGAATCACGTTATATATATGTTGTAAATCCAATCCTAACATAAAAGAATTTTCTTAGGGGTATTCCAAATAATGAAGCCAGGTGCCCTGAAGATTTCCCGAAGTATGCTTTCAAGCATTTAAAATTTCTTTTGACACCTCTATAAATCATCATTGCCTTGGGACTCTATTCAAAACAAAACCAAGATTTTTCTTTTTGATATATGGTGGTAGGACAGGATGGGAACAAATCTGCTTCTTTTTACTGTGGACCTTCCCAAATGGGTAAGATCTTTAAGCACTTTCCTGACGTTTCTTGCCTTTAAATACTACATTGCTATATTTGAATTGCATATATTGGTGGAGACGCCTTGGCTGTAGAATCTGGATACAGAGTGTGGAGTCAGGAAGCCCAGAGAAGGACCTGACATGGTTCATGCTCTGATGGTCGCAGGTTGTCTCATTGGATAGCTCATCTTTCCCCATTTTTTTTTTGGGTACAGGTGGCACATGGGCTCTTGGGGACCCTGCTCAGCTACCTGTGGTGTTGGAATCCAGACCCGAGACGTGTACTGCCTATACCCGGGGGAGTCCCCCGCCCGCCCTGAGGAGTGCAGAGACGAAAAGCCGCATGCCTTACAAGCGTGCAATCAGTTTGACTGCCCTCCTGGCTGGCACATTGAAGAATGGCAGCAGGTAGGGACACTGGCCACCCCGTGGCCCGTGTGCTTGTGGCCGTGAGGAGCCCTGCACTGCGCTAACATGACATGGGCCAACCCGTCGCCTCACCCCCGTCATCTTCTCAGTGTTCCAGGACATGTGGCGGAGGAACTCAGAACCGAAGAGTCACCTGTCGGCAGCTGCTCACAGATGGCAGCTTTTTGAATCTATCGGACGAGTTGTGCCAAGGACGCAAGGCGTCGACTCACAAGTCCTGCTCCAGGACAGACTGTCCTCCACACTGGGCTGCGGGAGACTGGTCGAAGGTAGGAGCCTCACTCAACTTTACGGCCCCTTCTTTTCCGTCCCTCCTTTGTTTCCGCCTCTGAGTATTTCCTCCACAAGATCAGGCTGGGACTATGTGGGAGGAGCAGGGCTCCCAGGGTGCCAATTTAAGGAGTTGCTCGCTCACTCTTAGCCTGCACACAATGATTCCTTTCAGTTTTTACTCAATATTCTTTAAACTGTTCTCATCATCTTTCTCCCAAACCCATCCCTTCTGCTGGAACTACCAGAATCATAGTGTCCCAGGATACACTCACATCTATCTGGTTCCTCCCTTCCTTGTGTCCCCTCCCGTGGAACCATTCATTACACCCTGCGATGTCGAGTTTCTGAACACCTTCCATACCTTGTCTTCCCTTGTCACGTCCACTGCTAATCAGCCCTTCATCATGGCAAGCGTGAATTGCACAGCAAGTAGAATTCCAGCGTATCATTTCAGTGCTGGCAGGACGTGGTGCAGTCTGGCAAGGATGCCTTGTTTTCCAGCTGGGGGAACCTGAACTCCAGTAGCAGGAATAAGATGCCTAAGCTCTCACAGCTGGCAAAGTGGGGGCAGAATCCGTTCCTTTTGGCTGTACTCCAAGGGCCTTTTCTGTTGTCATGCACTGCCCACCTGATCTCCCTGCCCCCGTGTCACTCTCCCATCCCCAGACTGTCCAGCACCCCGGTCTTCCCACTCCTGAGTTCATCAAGCCACCTGCTTGCTCAGAGTGTTCCACAGGTTTTACCACCTGCAGAATCACCGCTTAGTGTGGCCCAGGGACTGGTCAAATGGACTCCACTCCTGGGAACTGGTAAGAAATGAGGACTCTAAAGTCCTCCCAGACCTGAGGAATCAGAGTCTGCCCTTCAGCAAAGTCCCCAGGTGTCGTCTTGCCATGCACACAAGTTCGAGCAGTGTTTTCCCCACCTGCCCTCATCCTTGTTTGGGTTGCTCAGTCTTTAAATGTGTCCAAGGTAGGAATGGCTCTGAGTGATGACTTCCTTGAACAAGTGCTGCCCTGAGCCAAGGGGAACAGACAAGAAAAGGGAAGGACACGGAGTGGGCCGAGGCTGCGGAGAAGCCAGGCACTGCATCCCTGGACGCAGCCAGGGAGCCCCCAGCATGACTGCCTGCTCTAAGATACCCGCTCTGCTTCCCTCTTTTCTTCCCTCCTCTCAAAACAAACAGGTCTTCACGGTTCGATCCTGTCTTGTGGAACAAACTCTTGTCACTGGCCTTTTAGACTGGAGACTAATGGTGACATCATCGCTTTCCTCCCCCGTCCTTTCTCCCAGTGAATTGCTGAATTCGCAGTTGCCAGTTATATATTGCTGACGTAAGGCTATTGCCACGTTCACACGGGCTTGCCGTTGCGTCTCTGCTCTTGCCGCGGCTCTCATGTCCTGGCCCCAGCTCTCCACGTCCCTCCTCTCTGAAGTCTCCCACTCCCTCAAATCATCCAACATTTCCCACCTTTAGCTCACAACGACCTCACTTTTTGTTATGTTTCTGTGGGTAGCTACTTCCTGAGCATCTGCATGGTCTTTGCATCTGGCTTATAGTGTCCTTGAGGCCTGTGGCCGTGAGGTTGTGGACAGGTCCTTGGGTCCTGTAGAGCTCTGACCAAGGACACCCTCTTTCTCAAGAGTCTTTGCAGTCAGGGAAAATTCAAAGTCATGTTGAACAGATGATCATCAGAAAACCTCAGGCCTGCTAGCACAGGAGAGGCAAATCATTCATTGAAGGGTTTTGCTGGGAGAAAGAAGAGACGGAAACAAAAGGGGAGGGTACCCAGGTAAGCTGGGGTGGACCCGAGGCAGTTTCCTGGACGACCATTTGTGAGGGCAAAGAGTGAGCTCTGTGTACTCCACGAGGTCAGCCGAGCTCAGTTAAGACGCCCTCCCACTCCCAGCCAAGACCACGGCTCCAGGAAGCCCCGTCTTGGGGGAAGGGCAGGTGTGCACTGCACTCACAAAGGCAGGGCCGCCCCGGCTGTGACTCCAAAAGCCGGTGTCAGACTCTGCTGCAGTCGGGCACATGACATGCTGTATGGCGGCTTAGGTTTCCCGCTAGATTCAGCTTTTCTCCTGTTAGGTGAAATTTCCTCTCATTTCAGAGCTGCTTTGTTTTGGCAGAGACTCTGACGCCAAATTGCCACCCTTCCCTAGAGCGTCTTGCCAAACTAGTCCCACTGCCAGGGGATGGCTCACTGGGGGGCAGCCGTCCATTTTGTGGTTCTGGATAAGGTCCTTCCACGTTAAACCTGGCCACTGACCCTGGACACAGAAAGGCTGGGGAGCCACGCCAGAATTTCCATTCTCCACCAAGCCAGCCGGGGGCCTGCAGCTGGGAGGGTCCTCATCCCCGACACTGGCTCTATTCATGGCGTGTTGACCTTTGTCCATCCGTTGGCTCATTAGTTTGCCTGGGTTCCTCAGACCTGGACCAAGCCTTAGGTAGAGAGGAGCCTCCAGTTCTTACACGGCCTTTCGAGTTACAAGAAAGGGGCTTTGACTCACAGAGGCAATCTTCTTCCCAGATGGCGGAGTCTCTGATCCCCTTGCAGCCCGTGTGTCCCACCCCTGGACTGAAATCCAGCAGCCTCTTCTCATTTTTATTTTCTATACTCTGACAGAGCATTTGGCAGTTTTGTCTACTTCCATCTTTCTCCTTCATGGTGTGTCTTGGTGTTTTAATTTTTCCTACTTACCTGACTGTGTCTTTTCTGTTGGCGTCTCTTCTTCCAAATCTCAAAATAGCCCAATATTTGATTCTCTGATATCCACTGCTACATTTTCCCTCTGTGGTTGATTCTGTGTCCTGGCCTCTCCTCTAACTTCTGTGGGTGACTCTCTGTCTCCAGGAGTCTCTAACCTCTGTCCAATACCATGTCTCCAGCTGTCCGTGTAGGACACGTTCTCATTGTGGGGAAGCACCAGGACCACCTCTTCACTCCATCCCAGCCAGCCTCCCCTCACTTCCCATCACCACCACCTTTCCACCCCTTGTAAGCCCCTCTGACTTCTTCACCCTCTGTATTCAGTTACCCACGCTTGCGAACTCTTCAGTCTTGACCCCTTATCCATATGATAAGTAAAAAGGAAGAAATCTCTATAAATGAGAAATTTTATACAGAACAACTCAAGATATGTCCAGAATGCATGGATTTTGAAATATAGCATTCTAGTCTTCAGTAGAATTATTAATTATGACTCATGAAAGCAGTAGGGTGATGGAGGCAGCTCATACTGGCTTGTGAGACCCAATTATGATCTCTTCCCTACTTGGGCTCAGTGACATCAGATTGATAGCTTGAAACCAGCCACGATGGGCGTATTTAAACCACAGAAGCCGGCAAAACAGTCAAGGCTCTTTCCCCCAAGAGCCTTTTGTGAAATATTTACCAGCACACAAGAGTGTGAAAGAGTCTCTCTCTTTCTCTCTCTCTCTCTCTCTCTCTTTCTCTCTCTCACACACACAGTCTTATTGATGAGCAGTTTCAGCTTATTGATAACGCTTAGCATGGAAATGCCCTCAAGACGTTCTGGTCTCTGGACTCTTTTTTACAAAGTCTAAGAAGCTTGGTTGAGCTGAAGACGTTTTTTTAAATCTTTATCTTCATAATTGGTGTTTGGCGGGGCTAGAGCGTACCTAAAGATCTCTGGGTGAGGATCCAATCTATGAATCATCATCCTGCACATTAGTTTTATCTTGATCTGAGGTCTTTGATGCACCTGTATTAACCCTTTGTTCAGATATTCCTTCCGTGAGTAAAAGACTACCCCAGCTTTCAAGGTTTATACTAAAGCCTTCCTTTTACTCTTTTTTATTCTGTGGTACTATTTATGAGTTTCTTATTACTGCTCACTATGTAGATAACCACTCTTCTACCTGAATAATAATAGCACCTTTTTAGACGCAATCTGACAGTTTTCTCTTATAATTTGACCCATTCAGCATATGCCCAGTGCATTCACGTTCATGCAGTTCTGTCTGCTCCACTGACTTTAAATCATACACATGCACACATGTGAGCACACACACACACACACACCCTGAACATGCCTTATTTTCCTGACTAGACTGTAGCTGCCGGAGGGGAAGGACCATTTCTGTGCATATTTGTATCCCACTTGGTGCTCGGCGAACACCCATTGGCTAAAATAAAGAGACTTATACAAGCTTCCTCTGTTCTGAATGTCCCTATTCCCATAGTCCTACAAACTCACAGTCATTTAATCAGCATTCACTAAGCATTGTTATGTTGATTGCCCCAGCCACAAGGAATCAGACAACCAAGAACACAGTCTTCAGGGAGCTCAGGGTTTCAGGAGGCAAACAGATGAATTAATGTTTACAGTGAAGGTGCCCTGTATATAGAACTGTGTGAAAGTCGAAGGAAATAGCTAAGCCTGTCTGAGTCCCAGGAAAGCGTAGAAGATGCAGCTTGAGAGTTGGGTCTTAAGAAATGAGTGCAAACTGTGTGGAAATGAGGCAGACGGGTGTTCTAGGTGATGACAAGAGTGTGTACAAAGGCACAGATTTGCGAGAGTCTACGTGGCTGGAGAACAGGATGCACTGAGGAAGTGGGGGAAGGTGAGATGGGAGGAGAGGCTGCAGCCAGACTGTGAAGGACTTTGGGTATTTGGAGTTACCCTGCAGTCACTGAGGGCCTTATGGACGGTGTTTGAATAGGGAAGTAAATGCAAAAGTGTTTCAGATGTGTAATTCTGGCTGCAACATGAATAATGTATTCGAGGAAGAAGGAATTGGAGCTTTAGAGAACTTGTTAGATGGCTATTGGAATAAAACCAATGAGGATAATGAAGCAGTTGGGATGCAAAATAGAAAACAGTTTTGAAAGATATTTAGGAAATGTAACTTACATATTTGGTAATTAAATTGGTAGGAAATGAGAGTAAGAGAGGAATGTTCTAGATTTCTGTCCTGGGAAGCTAATGGATGAGATGACATTAATTTTAAAATTAGAGAAGGAGAAGCACATTCAGAAAGTGATTTGAAAGGGAGAGGAAATGGGTTTATTTTTGAAATACATGTAGTTTAAGAGTCTATAAAGGTGTCAATAAAGAATTATAGCTCAGAAGAGACCTGCGTTGCAGTCATAATTGTGGAAATCGCCAGCACGGAAGTGGGGGTTGAAGCCATGGAGGTTGACTGCTGTGGTATCTGAGAGCATGTTACTGACAATAGTTCCTGGAACAGTGATCGCGAGGCCTCCAGCGGGGCAGAAGCTTGATGGCAGCCTAGTTGCTCAGTATCCCCAAATCCTTCATTAAAAAACAAAAAACAGAGCGATTAGGATTGCCAAAGGAAAGAAAAAAAGAGAGAGAATTTTCACAGAAGTGATGTAAGTAGGTGAGGCCAAATCACACACAACAGCAGCCACTGTGCAAAAACTGCAAATTTAGTAGCTAGGCAGAGATAAAAAAGAGAAAGGAGGGGGCCAAGAGTCATGGACACAGAAATCAAAAATAAATACGACGACAGGGAAATAATCCTACTCTGCACACGACCCTCAGCAAGCAGAGTTGAGACCAGTCAGTGAAATTGAGAGAAGATCCAGATCTTGAGTGTGACTGGGAGGAAGAAAGACCAGGCAGACCCGCTTGTGGGCTTAAGAAGACCGGAGAGGACTGGAGAAGTCGCCAGAGTTACAATCTGAGTGGAGAAGGAACACAGACGGGGTAAAGGAGAGGGAACTTCCAGAGCCTTAGGAATCATGAACTCCAGAAAATACAAATCCCAGAGCTGTGGCCAAGCTGTTGAATGTCATAGTTTCTAACACCAGAGAAGGGAGCTCTTAACAGTGAAGATAACTCCCCTGAAGTAATCCCACCCCTTCCATGAAAGCACAGAAAACAGTCTCTTTCATTTAAATGGGAGCCTCAGCAAACATCCTACAAAGATACTGTGAAAGCATCAATAACAAACCAACAGCATGAAAATTTCACCTGGAAGCAGATGGAAATATAACAATATTGTAACATGAACTAAAAGAAACTAAGAAAACCGTAGATACAAATCAGAAAATTCAAGAAATGAGATAAATAAATAAAAGAATGTGAAAAGACAGCTGACAGGGTTCAGGATACGATTAGAACACTAAGGGTAAATTGTTCAGAATGTAGTGGAAGGAACCTCAGAATGACTATACACAGAAAGCGTAATGAGGGAAATAAGAGAAAGAAGGGAAATGAAAAGAATCAAAGAGAAATAAAAAAGATTCAAGTGAAAATGACAGATATAAGAGACAAGGAAAGAAAATCCAACAGACAGTCCCAGGAAGAGACGACCAAACATTATAACAACAAAAATATAAATAGAAGACTCAAATTGCCATCTGTATATCTGGGAAAACTGACCCAGCATGGTCAATATCAAGACATATTTTACGAAAACTACTGGCTTTTTTTTTTTTTTTT